AACCCTAAACCCCAAACCCTTAGGAGTGTGCGGCAAATTATTATGTCCAGGCTGCAGGTGCATTGTAACATAACTTTGGATGCGGGACCCTGAGCCTTGTATCTAAGAGAGCGCACACGCTCTCTGACGCGAAGAAACCCCTAAACCCTAAATCCTAAGCTCTAAACTAAGCCTAGTATCAATCTCGATTTCGATTCTTTCGATTGCTCGCGGAGAAAGTTGGCACCACCGCCGAAGAAACAATACGGAAGGCCTCATCGACCTCATCAACCTTCGTTGGTGCTGCTGCCAATGTAGGTGGTCGTTCCGCCACAATAGTTCGCGATGGCGGCCATGTGTTACAGCGCATTCCCGGATCAAGTACAGTAGTATAATTGCTGCGGGCGGAGGACGCCAGAGTTGGGTTCCGAACGGCATTCGGATCGGCAGTCGTCGTCGTCGTCGTCGTCGTCGTAGCTGTTGCCGTCGTGGTGGCAGTAGTTGTGGTAGTGGTAGTGGTAACCGCAGTCACAGTAGCAGGAACAGCAGCAGCAGCAGCGGCAGCGGCAGCGGCAGCGGCAGCGGCAGCGGCAGTAGCAGTGGCAGTAGCAGTGGCAGTAGCAGTAGCAGTAGCAGTAGCAGTCGCAGTAGTAGTAGTAGTCGTCGTCGTCGTCGTCGTCGTCGTCGTCGCTGTCGTCGTCATCCTCTGAACCGGTCGGGTTTTGGGCTCCAAGGTCTGACGTCGTGACACCTCAGTCTCAATGCCCTGATACACTACACGGCTTACTGTGGGGTTTAGGATTTTAGGGCCTCCGGCCTAGAAAAGTAGGAGTTTGTGCAAGAAGCCTCCAGCCGTGGCTTCGTACAAGGCGTATCCCGTCCCAGTGAAGAAGGCCAAGGGGTCGCCCTCCATTTATTGCCCCTTGGCTGGCCTTTCTCGAAGAATAAGGTTGCCTTATCCTTTATTATGCCTTACTCATTATTCCGGTGTTTGGCGTCGTTATCCAATCCTGTTCTTTAGGATGTATCGTCGGGGCACTTGTCCTCTGAAGCTACCATGTGCATACTCTAAATCTTGAACACAGAGCCCTACACCCCCCAGCCTTCGCATGGTCGGCATGACGCGAAACCTCAAATAAACGGTTGTCAAAATTAGGGTCCCTTTTTGGGTCCTTATTATAATACGGCACCTATTATTTAGGGTACCCCACAAGGGACCATCATTTTGACAACTACCCATATGGCACTAGTAGAAGAAAGGCGCAGCACTGCAGCACTGGCAATCGTCTTAGTCCCATGTAGCCGTCTGCGAAGATCTGTAGCAGCTTCTTCGTACTAGCTGTATGAGGAGGAATGCCGGCGGCATGTGTGGCTACACGGATAGCAACGGTAGCAATGCTGGCTTGATGCGTAACTCTCCTCGAATCTTAAGACCAGGAATCAGACAAGTAGTGGCAGCAGGTCATACCGATGCTCGTAGGCGAAGAGCCGCCATTTGTTGTTTCGCAGGCGGTACATGACAACTTGGTACCTACACAAAGGTACTTCACCCTTTCCTTCTGCAGTTTGAAACACCTTGAACCCCAAGCCCCTCAATCCTGAACCCTAAACCCTAAAACCCGAAAGTCCTAAAACTCAATCCTGAACCCTAAAACCCTACATCCCTCAACCCTAAACCCTGCTCTTGGAATTTCTTTTTGAAAGCGGACGCGTCAGCACTCCCCACGATGGCTTGGTCTAGCCTGGAGGTCGGCAAAGCATCTTTCAAAAGACCTAGACCTGCACCAGAACGGGTCAAGAGGGGCTTTAGCCTCCTCCATAGGCTTCGGAGGCACTTCACTCCAGATGGAACTAGACGGCTCTTTCCGCAGACAGTGGAAGGTGTGGAAGCCCTTCTGGCCACCTATGCGATGGCCGACAATGGTGACGATGGGGTTTGCGAGCTCACCAACGAAGACATGAGCTTCATTGAACGATGGTGGAACCACCTCCGCGCAGTGCTACCTCCGCCCGTCTCGGATCATGATCCGGTGGACGGCGAGTCGAATTAAACCATACTCGGGATTCTAGGGTTTAGGGTTTAGTTTCGTCTGACTGCTCTTTGATTTACGCTACATGTCTTCATTAAGGGGTTTCAGCTTCTTTTGGGCACGATGCGGCCGCAGAGCGAAGAGCCAACGACAGCACCCTAAAACCCTAAACCCCAAAGCCCCTGAACCCTAAAACCCCTAACCCCTAACCCCTAAACCCCTAAACCTTAAACCCTTAAACTCTAAACACTTAAACCCCTAACCCTAAACCCCTTAACCCCGGAACCCCTAAACCCCAAAGCCATGAACCTCTAGACCCTGAACCCCTCAACCCCTTAACCCCTTAACCCCGAAACTCTCAAGCCCTAAAGCCCTGAACCCCCAAACCCTAAACCCCTAAATCCGCTAGCCCTGAAGCCCTAAGCCCTGAACCCCTAACCCCTAAGCCCTAAACCCTCGCGACCCGAAACCCGTAAAACCTAAACCGCTAACCCTAAAGCCCTAAACCCTAAACCCTAATCCGCTCACCCAAAACCCTAGGCTTCTCCGTGGCCCGAGCGGGGCCCGAGATCGCCGCGGCCTCGGCTCTAGAATTTCTACATGGGTAGCCCTTCTAGGGTTTAGGGTTTAGGGTTTAGGGCACGGCACCCCTATAAAAAGGACCCTAAAAGAACCTAGTTTGGAGAGCTACCCGCATGCTTAAGGGAGTAGGGTTTAGGATTGAGGGTTTACGGCTGAGGGTTTGGGGTTTAGGGTTTAGGGTTTAGGGTTGAGGTTTCAGGGTTTAGGGTTTAGGGTTCAGGGTTTAGGCATGAAGATCTCTTAAGGGTTGAGTAGGGTGTTGCAGGGTTCTGCGTTTTCGTTCATGTCCGTTAGAGTTGTACAATAGGCCGAACAAAAGGTGTTTAAGCGAACTAAACCCTAAACCCTAAACCCTAAACCCTAAACCTTTACCTCATCTTTTTCACAGCGCAGGAAGCCCCCAGAACACTAGTCGAGTTATCTTGGCTTCTATACAGGGGTGTAGGCGCAGTACCCTCAACCCTAAACCCTAAACCCTAGACCCTAAACTCTAAACCCTAAACCCCCTGGTTACAACAGGGTCTTCTTGGAGCGGCAGGAGGGCTCTGGGGGTCGAGGGAAGTTACGGGGTTGGGGCATTTGGGAAATCAGGGAAGTTTACGCTAAACCTCAATCCTAAGGCTTAAATATTTTACCGCTTTTGGGCTTTAGGACGCTTTGGATGCTCAGGGTTTAGAGTTGCATGGCTTTGAAGATGTCGGGAAGTCACGAGTTGAGGGCCAAGTTTAGGGATTTGGGGAGCGCTGGATTTAGCGTAGGTGAGGGCTTGGGGTTTAGGAGGTTGTGCACAAGCCTGGAATACATACAGGGTTTCATATTCTCTGCGTGGGTTTCTTGTTTTTGCTAGGAGGTTTTGGGAATCGCCGTCCAACCCGAAGCCCTTAAAGTAAACCCTGGCAGAGGTTCGGAACGTCGCATGGGCAAACACGATTCGTGTCGAGCAGCTGTCTGACGGGAAGAAGTTCGGGTGGCTCGTGTCACAGCCGCGTCACTGCCGGGAGGTCAGCTGCTTTTGCCAGCCCGTCGCAGCAAACTTTCCCCTGTCGGAGCCCGAGCCCCGACCCTTGCCTCGCGATGATGGTTACTCGGAGGTTCATGGGTAGTTATATTTGGGGTTTTAAGTAGGGTAACTATAGTTATAACCCATATTAAGGAACTTATAACCCCACTAACTAATAACCATCCATGAACCTCCAAGTAGTGCATAACAATCCAGAGTATAGCATAACAGAATGAAATATGCTAAGATAGGTTATGATATCTTAGAAGTACAGTACCCATGTCGTGGCTTCTGAGCAAATAATTTCACAGTGTCTGCTATGTGGGTATACCGGTAGTTCTTTGAATTAGGGTCCCTTCTTAGGTCCCCCAAATAGTTCCCTTCTTAAGGTCCCCTGAATAGTACGGCATCCTTATAAAAACGACCCTGAAAGGGACCCCGAGAGAGAGAGAGAGAGAGAGAGAGAGGGAGAGAACTGCCCACGTACATTCAACCCACGTCCTAAGTTCGATATCCCAAACCCTGAACCGTAAACCCCAAGCCCCGAACCCTAAACCCTACACCCCAAAGCCTAAACCCCAAACCCTAAACCCTAAACCCGAAAGCCGAAACCCTAAACCCTAAATCCTACAAGCCCCTCGGGAGAGTCAGGACGTCAAGAATTCAGCAATATACGATTTCAGACGAGGATTCCTGAACCCGAAACCCTGAGCCCTAAGCCTGAAGCCCGAAAAACCAGACCCTGAGCCCGACAACCCTAAATCCTAAACCCTAAGCCCTAAACCCTAAACCCTAAACCGTAGACCATAAACCCTAAGCCCCAAATACTAAATCCCAAACCCTAGACTCCTAAACCCCTAAAACTTAAACCCTAAGCCCCAAATCCTAAACCCTACACCCCAAAACCAGGACACCTAAACCCCTAAACCCCAAACCCTAAACCCCAAAGCCAGGACACCTAAACCCTAAACCGTAAACCCTAAACCCTAAACCCCAAAACCAGGACACCTAAACCCTAAACCCTAAACCCTAAACCCCAAAACCAGGACACCTAAACCCCAAACCCTAAGTCCTAAACCCTAAACCCCAAAACCAGGACACCCAGACCCTAAGTCCTAAACCCGAAACACTAAGCCCCAAATCCTAAACCCTAAGCCGCAAAAACCAGGACACCATGTACTATGGGTTATAACTATAGTTACCCTACTTATAACCCCACTTATAACTACCCATGAACCTCCAAGCAGGACAACATGTACATGCAGCGCCAGTCCGGAACTGGCATCTTCGCCTGCGATGGGCACTTCGGCCGCAGGGGCTGTTGCGGTTCTTGGGGTTTTTGGGATTTAGGGTTTCGGGTTTAGGAATTTAGGGTTTAGGGTTCAGGGTTTAGGGTTTAGGGTTTAGGGTTCGGGTTTAGGGATTTAGGGTTTAGGGTTTTAGAGGTGTTTTTCGCAATTTTGTGATTTGAGTAGAGCGCTAAAGCACGCTCCGGTTACATCCCCAAAATCCGAAACCACCCTTTGGGGTTTGGGGTTTAGGCCTTAAGCCCTAAACCCTCAAGGCCCTCCCCTACACTCCTAACCCCCTCACCGGGGCGGATACCAACGATTCCGTAGGGTGCTTTGTCATTTTTGCGCGACCATTCATGCTGGTCGTAAGTTTTCATACTTACGGTATAGGGCCTAGTTAGGGTTTTTAGGGCTAGTTTAGGATTTCGGGTGCTATTGGTCACGGTTGGCACATATTTATACTAGACAGGACCCCAAAACCCTGTTCAATTTTCCAGGTCTGTATGGTTTAGCTGCGAGCTTTGGGTTTTGGGGGTAGGGTATAGTTAAGCAAGCAAGACAGTAGATGTGGATCCCTTACATATAGGCTTCTTACCATATAGTTAAACCTTCAAAACAATGGGTGATGGGAGGCCGCGACACGCTGGGCGTCTAGCTGGTGCTAAGCCCTACTGTAAACCCTAGAAACATTATAAGCCCGAATAACCCCTAAACGCTAACCCCCCCATAAACCCCCAAGCCCTGAGCCCGCAGTTGCCAAACCTCACGCTCAGGCATGCCGTCTACAGCAACACGAACACGACTATCGATGGCATCAGGCTGACTTCCGAGCCTGCAGATAATTGCAATAGGGTTTTATAGGGTTCGTGTCTGATGCAGCGTTCACGGAAACCATCGGAACATGGTTTTATAGGTCAATAGTTACATAAACATACCATCGGCATTCATGGTATGTTTTTAGGGTGCTGAAGGAACCTAGGAACGATGCCACGCGCACTCGTCGCATCGGTGAGGTTGAGGATTCAAGGACTGTTGGAGTGTTTGGGACCATCGGGATCCGGGGTCAGAGGTGTAGGATTCCAGTGTTTGGGGTTTGGAGTCGTACCGTTGAGCCTCTGACCCGAACTCCCAAACCCTAAACCCTAGACCCCAAACCGCTGAAAGGACTCCATAAGACTACCAGCTTTTTGAACAAAGGGTTTTGTTCGGGGTTCGAGTTTTAAGCGAATTTGGAGTCCGTCGGTTTTGTTTCCAACCTCTGCCCGGGGATTTACTTTATGCTCTGTCAGCTTTGGCCTTGCGAAGATCGTATATGGGTAGTTCTCAAAATTAGGGTCCCTTTTTGGGTCCCCAATATAGTACGGCGCCCTTATGAAAAAGACCCTATAAGGGACCCTAATTTAGAGAACTATCCAGATATGAGTTTAAGTTCTTTCAGGCTTTAGGTTTTGAAGGTCCCGCAGGGTTTGTTGGCATTCGTATCTACCCTATCACATTTTCCCTCTGGTCTGACCAGGTTCGGGGCCTCGATATTTTGAGATCACCTTCCTCTTGAACCCCGATAATGCTCCAGTGCTATTGTTAGACCAAGGCCCCTCTAAAGATGGATTTAGGGTGGGTTTAGGGTTGCAGTGCAGTCTTTATGTGCTGTTTAGAGAGCAGACCTTTCAGAATGCTGGTCTGCGTATCAGCGGAAACCACCCTTGAATCTGAAACCCTGACATCCACGAGAGTTCTGGCGCTTTTGGGTTTAGATCTGTTGTCTTCTTGGAGGACAATCCCGATCGGAAACACAGATTCAGGACTCTCTGCTACTTGGCAACATGCGAGATCGGATATTGTTTGTTGTTTATGCGGTTTTTTGAGAGCTTAGAGTAACGGTGTTTTCTGGCTTTGGCTTACAGGGAGCAGGGTTTGCAGAGCTTGGGCCTTTGGCTTATGTATTTGGGAGTTCAGGATTCGGAGAGGCCCCCTATTACACCCTTGCCGAGCCACAAGCAACGTTCATGAATGTTTCAGAGACGCCCCCCCCCCCCCCCT